ATAAAATCTAAACGATGCTCGATAGATGCCTCAGCAAGAAACCTTCTTTTAGCCAAGTCCTTTAGACCTCTGCTATTCCAAAAGATTCCTTTCATAATTCATCATGGAATTTTTTTGCCGTACGAATCCTAGCACTCCTACGCACTGCGGACACTGGGTACACCTTCCGTTTCCACTTGCGCTTGGGGATAATTTGACGCTGCAACTGGTCCTCACAACCAGTCTCAGAGGGGCTAGCCAAAAGCATGTCAGTAGAATCATCCTCTACCTCCCCCTCAGTACTAGGTTGCATAAGATCCGCACAAAAATTGTTGAGCACCCTGACCCCGAGCGCATCAACGTCAGAATCACTCATGGGTTTAACAGCCACAATATTACGAATCATCTCTAAGGCTCGCTCAGCCTCTAGATCAAGCAGATCATTAACCGAATTAGAGATTTCAGTGTCATTACTACCCAGCGATACTCCTAGTTGATTTGCATTTTCAACAATCTCATCATTTGAAAAATGCAAAATGGAATTAGAAGTATTGACTGACATACCAGTAGTGACCTCGACGTCACGAAGCTTAGCCGCCCTCATGGCGCACCGCTGCTGAATGTCGTCCACGTCTGGCTGTGCCTGGAGACGGCCACTCACCCGGCGCCCCTCAGACATCGGATCCTGAATCCCTCCAAACGTAATGACCTCCTCACGAGAGATCGCGGTCGGGGTCCGGCCTCCTGCCTCACCCCAACCAGCAGGCCGATCCATCTGCACGGTCTCACCCACAACCTCGCCAGAGAGTGGATGGGCACTCACCAAGATCTCAGACTCCTAGCGCGCCCCGCAAGACGGGGCCGGCAGGAAGGGTGGTGGAGGCAGTACAAGGGCCGCCTGCCCTCGCACCCCTCCCAGCACCGGAGAAGCCACCCCCACAGGCGCCGTAGGGGGAGAAGGCTCCGAGGCCACCTGCCCCGAGCCCTCTCCCGAAGGCGCCACGATCCGAATGGTAGACGCGACGGGAGAGAAGGTATCAGAGGCCTCCTGCCCCAGACCCCCTCCCAACGAAGAAAAGGACACGGGAGCCTCCTGCCCCAAGTCCCCTTCCTCGGCAGAATGGGAGCATCCCGAGGCCGCCTGCCCCGGGGCTCCACCTGACGAGCCGGGCACGACAAGCTACGTCACCTCCTGAGGATGTACCGTGTGCTGAGCAAGAGGGGGAGTGGCCACCTGCCGACTCACCTCCTCATCTCCCCAGATCGAGATCGCAGAACCCCCAAGACCCCCACGAATGGTATCCACAACACACTCAAACCCCAAAACAGGCAACTCGCGCTCAAAAGCCTCCTCAGACTCGACCCGATCACTCCACAGTCTCGGAGGTGCAGAAGAGGGCTCGAAAGACCCAAATCTCAGAGTCGTCGAAGGCACCGAGGAGGGTGGGGCTGCTCCATCCCCGGTCGTCGCGGTCTCGGACCCCGACCCCTTGGACAGTTGTCGTCCAGAGTCCTCGACTGGCGGCTCCTGCTCTCCCGCGCCGTCATCACCCTCATGCATATCCACGTTAGACTCATGAGCCGGCGCAACCAGCAGGCTCTCATCCTCAAACTCAATAACCAGATTATAAATCCTGCCTCGATAAGCCCACTTAACCACTTCTGGCACATACTCAATGTTCAATATACTAACCAGAACCCGAGCAATCCCGTGAGCTCTAGTGAACTCCATGTCCACACCCTCAGGCTTCCCTACTAAAATGCCCATGCTGGCCACAACCCGAGCATCCTGCAGCGGCTTAGAGGGAGCCCCTGAAAATCGCAACCATGCCTGAGTAAGCGGCACGCCCTGAGGCTCAATATGCTTCCACTCCTGAAACTCAAGGATGCCATCCGTTCCCGGCACCTTACACATCCCAAAGCTCAACAACCTCTGCAGATCCTCCACGGAAGGACACTCAACCCTGAACATCTTATCAGCGAGACTGACAAGGTCCCACTGGAAATCCCCAGGGGCCAACTCTCGGAGCCTCTGCACGATCTGTGTCTCAGACACCTCCCCTCTGGTGACCTTGACAATCCCCGTGGTCATACTCGTGGACTCATCAGACACCTCTCGCTCATTTGGAGATTCAAAAAAAGTTAACTCAGCACAGTAAACTCCATACATCATGAGTGACGGAGCCTGATCTCGCAGTAACGGACATTCCCCAGAGTCATGTGCCAGTTTACCGCAGGTATCACATAACAGAGCCACACACTCCGCAATGAAGTGGCCCTTGTCGCCGCAACGATAACAAAGCATCTTTTCCTTCCTGCGTGCCCACTTGGACGCCCTATCAACCTCAGCCATATCAGACAACTCCGCAGACACATCGGTCATAACCTCGTTCTTAGGAGCCTGAACCGTAGCAAGAGCCGTCACCACCTCCATGGCGTGACCGGTCAGTACAGGCTCCTCGACAGTCTCATCAACTGCCATATGGTCGACAACAACAGGTGGTAGCGGAGGACATGGACGGTACCGGCCCCCACGGCCGCCCCGACCACCACGATGGCCTCGGAAACCTCCTCGCTGCCGAAGACCCGGATCAGAAGGCCCCTCAACGAAGCCGCCTGAAGGACCCAAGAATGGCCTCTCAACTGACCCATCACTTTGCCAAGCATAACCACGACCGCCACCCGTGGACGAAGAGCCACGGTGCTGACCAGTCCCGTAGGTATCGTAGCCGTCATCCCCCCATTGACCTCGGGGCGCAGCCACAGTACCGCTGGACTGCGACGGCCCGGGCGGACGAGCAACAACATGGGGAGGAGGTGCTGGTGGCCTTGGTGGTGCAGCTCCCCGGCCCGCAGCGACCACCGCAGTATTGTCCTGGACGACCGGTCTAGGGCCGTAGCCCGGTCCCCCTCGCCCGCCCGACGGCACCGTCTGAGCCGGCGGCCTCCCCACGGCAACCCCGCCAGCCGGAAGCGTCGCAGCCTGGCCCCCTGACCCGCGCCCCGCAGCGTCCTTGAGAGGCTTCACAGCCGCGCGGCCGACAGCCACAACCGGCGCCGGCAAAACGCCCCTGCCACTTCCATGGCTTGGCGGCGGCGCGCCCCGGCCATTGCCTCGGCCCGGCGGCGGCGCGCCCCGGCCATTGCCCTGGCCCGGGGGCGGCGCGCCCCGGCCATTGCCTTGGCCCGGCGGCGGCGCCCCGGAGGCCCGAGAAGCCCCACTGGGCGGGAGCAGTCGCTTCCCAGGTGGAGGAGCACCACCCGAACCCCCCATCGCACCAAGGGGAGGGATGCGGCGAGCCCGGCCAGGACCGACGGAGCGAAAGTGCGGCACGCGACGCCGTGAAACCCTAAAGCACGATGGAGGAGTAGGCGATGACGAAGACGACATGCATGCGCCCCTCCTCTCGATAGCGTTTGGAGCCTCGTCTGGCTGGGCCTCATACCCACCAGACACTTGCCCAAACGTACCCAGCGGCCCAACATGCATCGGCGCAACTCGGCCCAGGAGCTGATTCAAACGCTCCCGGCGAGCGGCACGGATCGGGATCGCCGTGGCCGCCGGCAACGAAGCCGCGGCCCCCTCCGGCGCCGATCGCGGCCCTGCCCGGCGAGCATTCTTTCTCCTAGTCACCTTAGTCCATGATTTCGGTCGTATGAGATCAAATAACATTAAGTTCGGTAGACATACCTTAGGTAGCGGACCCTTCCACGGCCGGATCACCGACGCCGCCGTTCTCCGGTGAACCACCCGACGTAACATCTCCTTGGTCTCCCTCGCATGAAGCCCAACCCGAGCCGGATCATCAACGGGCAAGATGTTGTTGACCGTAGAAGCGACCTCATCTTCATCGTACTCTGCACACAAAAACTCACACAGCAGATCGGAAGGGGTCGGCGACGCTGGAGAAGGTTGCGCCGCTTCGGCCTCCTCATCCTCGTCTTCATCGTCGGCATCAGCGAGTGCCCAAAACCGGCCCCCCACCCGCCGTCGATCTCCGGATGAGCCAGGCGACGGCCCCGCGTGGATCACGGAGGTCGCGCCCCCAGGCTCCCCCCGCCGACCGAGCTCCCCGCCGTCAGACTCCGAGGACGAGTCGAGAAGCTCGATCGGGCTTGCCACATCCGCAACCATCTGCATACGATGCTCCACAACCACGTCATAGACATCAATCCGCAAATTAGAACCAACCCTCACCTGGTCGCCTATCGTCACATAATCGCCGGTGCGGACGTCGTTGTCCAGATCCAGCAGCGTCGTCCATCGAGATGCCGGCGAATGGTGCAGACGTCCGGCGATCCAATCTCCATGGCCATCTCGGAAACGCACAGCCCAACGCAACCCCCACTCCGCACGCACGTCCGCCTCACACCCAGCCACGATCTGATCTCGCTGGATGGGATCGGGCTGAGCCGAGGAGGGTGCCGAGGCTGGGGCGATCCGCAGCGGTGACGGCAAAACAGCGGGATCCGAAGGAGATCCCGACGGCGCCTCCGGTGGTCGCCCTCGCCCTCGCATAAATCGGGGAGAGGTTGGCTCTGAATTCAACCGTGTGAGCACATATGTGAGGGCGAGACCTTCATACTGAGTCCTGAGCACCTGCTGGTTGAGGTTGGCTCGGAAATTAGCCGGTTTCTTTGCTAGGAGCCCAATTAGGTGCTCGTGTGAGTCCTGAGCACCTGCTGGTTGTTCCCTTACCACCTATTGTAACCTGGCTGAGAGATCGGTGGAGTTTTTATTTCTTTTTTTGAGATGAGATGAGATGAGCAGACTGGTTATGCTACGTTGGCTGCATTGTCCAAATAATCTGCCACTCCATTTATTTACGCGTCAGCCTCTTCATTTTTTGGGCCTGCTGTTTCCTCTTTACCATGTTGTTTTCGAGCGGTTTTCGTCTTGGTTTGCACTGTGTTGAATTTGAATCAAGCGCGATTGATTTGTCACTTTCAAAATTTTGATTCGATTTGGTGCTTGGATTGTGCAGACCTTTAGCGAAGAGGGTGACGAGACGACGGACAAGATGGGCAAGGAGGACGACGTCTCCCGCGCCGTCGTGGAGGACGACACGGCGCTCCTCCTCGCGGCGGTGGACAGCATCAAGAAGGCGGCGCTGGGCCGGCTGCGCAACGGCTCCGACGCCGCCAGGATCCTCGACCAGGAGATGTCCAACAGGCTCCTCCACCTCGCCTGCAGGCACGACGCCGCCGAGTGCGCCAGGCTCCTCCTCGACGGTGAGTACGGGATCACGCCGGCCTCCGTCGACGCCAGGGACCAGCTCACGCGTACACCGCTCCACGTCGCCGCCGACGCGCACTCCAAGAGGTGCATTCAGCTGCTCCTCTCCAGAAACGCCCGGACGGACGTCAGGCTGCTCGACGGCACACGCCTCGTCGCGCTCGAGGTCGCGCTCATGAGCAGAAGGTGTGTCAATGGCACCAACTGCTTGCTGTACTATATTTGATAGTGACGAGTGTTAATTTGAGATGAAACTGACAGCAATGCATCTGTCTGTTCCCTGCCTGCTTTGTGTTCAGGGTTCAAGTTGATTGGTCACCGGACAACTCGGTCGAGGATCTTCTGGCTTATCTGCAACAAAAGGTTTGTCCCATCACTAAACTCACACACAGCTCCAAACTTCTCTTACATGGTTGATACTAGATAGGATCAATTTCTCATGCCAAACTGCAACTTGCCTGAATGCGTGTGTAGGATCTGAACGCGGTGAGGCTTCTGGCAGAGAAGACCAGGGAGGTTGGGAAGGTGGCTTATAGATACGCCATGGAGGGGCGTGTCGCTGCACTCGCAATGCTGCTCCTGGTGGCTGAGGAAAGGATATCGGCGATGATGAGCGTGGTGATTGATGGCGTCAGGACAAAGAGATCAATTTACAACTCTGTTGTGGATGAGGTTCTGTCGATTGGAGAGGCTTCAGCTAGAGACGGCAATGAAATGAGGACGAAAGCCTTGCTCTGTGAGATTCAGCTGCTTAACCAATTTGGGGCCACGTCGTGGAGGGACCGAAAAGTTGACAGGAGAAGCTTGCCCCCTCTACTTAGGGCTGCAAAGGTACTGATTGCTGTTAGTTTCATGTTACACTTAAATTGTCACCATTCCCAAACTTTGCAATGCATTGAGTATTCAGTGTCTTTTTTTTTGAGGTCTACACTGATTTTCCCCCCTTTTAAACACCGCTAGATTTGCATTGCAAATGAAATTAGTTGCTATGACTGTTATGAAGTTTAATTGAGTAATCAGTGTGTGTAACTGAGGTCTACGCCTTATTTTTCAAAAAGACATCTAAATTATACATGAAATGAGTATTATGATTATGATCCACACCCTTTGTTTGTATTATCAAGAAGCGGCTCTGCATATTCTTATGTTTGGTTGATGCGATATTGCTGTAATCATGCAACTGCAACTTATATATAGAAAAACTTACAATGGTCGAGTGTCCAGTGTCTTTACTTTGTGGTCTACACAGGCTCTTTCCCTTTTAGATTTGCATTGCACATGAATTTGGTTGCTACGACTGCCATGAAGTTAAGTGAGTAATCATTGTGTGTAATTGAGGTCCACACCTTATTTTAGGAAAGACTCCTAAAATAATACTGAAATGAGTTACCATGATTATAATCTACTCCCTCCGCTCCTAAATGTAAGTCTTTTTAGACATTTCAAATGGACTACAAAGTACAGATGTATGTAGATATATTTTAGAGTGTAGATTCACTCAGTTTGGTCCATATGTAGTCACTTGTTGAAATCTCTAAAAAGACTTATATTTGGGAACGGAGGGAGTACACGCTTTGTTTTTACGTATTAACTAGAAGCAGCTCTGCATTTTCTTACCTTCAGTTGATGCAGTAGTGCTGTAATCGTGCAACTGCAACTTATATATAGAAAAATTTATAATGATTGAGTGTTCAGTGTCTTTACTTTGTGGTCTACACAAACTTTTTTCCTTTTAAACATTTCTGGATTTGCATTGCACATGAAATTAGTTGCTAGGACTGCCATGAAGTTTAGTGAGTAATCAATGTGTGTAATTCAGGTCCACACCTTATTTTATGAAAGACTCCTAAAATAATACATGAAATGAGTTACTATGATTATGATCTACACACTTTGTTTTTGGGTATTATCTAGAAGCAGTTCTGCATTTTCATATGTTCAGTTGATGCAATATTGCTGTAATCGTGCTACGCCTAACAAGCTGCAATTTATAAAGCTGCATCTTATACACATGAAAAACTTGCAATGATTGGTTCCTTGTGTAGGCCGGAGATATGAATGTCAAAAAGATGCTTCTGATGGGGGATGTTGATGTCAATGAAACTGACCCCGAAGGAAACACGGCACTTCACTGGTGCCTCAGTAGTAGCTCAAGCACACAGGAGCCAAGGTGCTCTTTTCAAAATTCTGCTCCATTAACAGCTAAATTATAAGACGGGTGTTCTTGCTATTTCCAAGTGTCCTTAGTTGTCTTCTGTCTTTGTGCAGGATTGAGTGGCTCCTGCTGAAGAATGGTGCCAGAGTTTTCCAGGGGAACAAACTAGGTCTCACACCAGTGCACAGTACTGCAGCTAAGGACAATTACAAGGCTCTTCAGGTAGCCTTGTTACTTCCTTTTCAAGTGCTTAATGATACCACTGTGGCTAATTGGCATTATTGTGTTTCTTTGATCTGCATGTCACTTCTGCTTCATGCACAAGATTGCGTTGATATACCTTCCAAGACCAAAGAAACCCCATTATTCCTTGCAGCGAAAAATGGTTCTTTGAGTTGTGTACGACTTCTTTTGCGTTATGGGGCTAACCCCAAAGCTCAGAACCTACGGTGAGTAATATTTCTGAAGAATTCTTGTATACAGTGATTTGATTGACTTACAATGATGCGATTCTTTGGTGTTGAACAGAAAGCAAAGACCAATAGATGTGGCGACATCCCAGGACATGCGGTTCCTTCTCAACTCCGCAAATGTTGTACCAAGTAAGATGATTTTCTGCGATAGTAAATATTTGACTGAGTTCGCAAATAGAACATCTCTTATGTTAATACAAGCACTTCATTTGTCCTTTTGTGTATCTTGTGTAAATAAAAGCACTTCACTTGCCCATAGTTTTGTGTTTGATTCTTCAACGGAAGTACATGTTCTGCTATAAGATCACATTCTGCCATGTTCTATTGTTTGATCTGTTTCATTACACTGGAAGCATTTTTTTCTTGCGAATAACACTGGAAGGGATTTTATTGTTTGAATTACATAAAGATTGTTTAGATAGTTTTGGTTTTACTGATAATAATGCATGTCAAGCCAACTGCATTTTCAACTGAATTTTGTTCCTTTTTAGTGAACCATGGCTCAATGGAAAAGAACCATGCAATGAAAAAAGAAAGGCACAAAGAGCTTCTGGATGATGATTTCGATGATTATGACAACGACGATTATTATGAAAGGTATTTCTTATATCTGTACACGATTACATGAAATGTAGAGAAAGTGCTGCTCATGTGAAAGTTAAAAATTAAGATATTGCTTTGAATATCATTGCAGCTATGTTGTGCCAAAGGCGTCAGTAGGTCACGGGGATTTTCGTTCCAGCAATTTATCTACCCAAGGGGCTAAAAGTAAGAGCCACAGTGCCCCGGAAGATGGTCCCAAATTATCTCAGGTAATCTAGATATCCTCTATCTGTATTACCAAGTGACTTTGTTTTGTTTACATGGCCTCCTTACAACGCATTTTATTTATAGCATAATGACCATTGGGAGAAGCATGACTACACTCGCAAAATCTTTGTTGGGGGTCTCCTGCTTACGTAGACGATGGTATAGCTTCATAATCCTGAACCAGTTGTGTGCAACACAGTGAACATGAATGTACTTCTAACATTTTCTTTGTCATTCGTTTCTGGCAGTGTACCTTAGCAGATTCTTCAGTACTGAATTCGGACCAGTGGAGGAAGCAATGGTTATTACTTTAAAAATAGACAACAGATACACCATGGAGGGTCATGTCGCTGCACTCGCAATGCTCCTGGTGGTTGAGGACAGGATATCGGCGACGGTGATAGGCGGCGTCAGGACAAAGAGATCAATTTACAACTCTCTTGTGGATGAGGTCCTGTCGATTGGAGAGGCTTCAGCTAGAAATGGCAATGAAATGAGGAAAGTCTTGCTCTGTGAGATTCAGCTGCTTAACCAATTTGGGGCCACGTCGTTGTAACGCCCCGAGACCGACGCTCCAGAAGACTTCCAGCTACTCCGAGTTTCGTCGTGTGATTTGTTTTATTTATTGCATTCATCCTTGCATCATGTGCATTGCATCATGTCATCATGCCATCATATCATTAATTTTTAAAACCTCAACTAAATAAATTGTATGGATTTTTCGATCCATTTAAATCGAGGGACTCACATGGTGACTTCTCTTTATAACATATCCTCCAATATTAGGGAGCTATATTAAATATTTCACTATTTTGGAATCACCAAAACACACTTACAAAATAATTTCGTTCCTTTTCTGCTTCAAGTTTGGTCTCCAACCTTGCCAATATTTATTTCATCATTTTCCGGAGCTCCACCAAAAATCCGAACATTTTTGGACCTTCCCAAACCTCACTTCCTATTCAAATCATTTGAATTTAAATCAAATGAGTTTGAATTTAATCTTTCAATCATGCCCCTTTCTATTTTTCTTGGAACAAGCGCATTTTTGCGAGTCCGGGAAAAATATCCCCTTGCGCTTTTTCTTCCCTAACCTCTCTTTCTTTCTTTCTTTTCTCTGTTCTGTTTTTTTTATTTTTTCATTAGAGTGAGGGGTAGACCCAGCCAGGCCTCTGGCCATTCTCCTCCCCACCAGGCCGGCCCAGTCTCCCTAAGGCCCAGCCCACCTAACCCTCCTAACCTAGCCCGACCCCCTCGCTCGATCCATCTCTCCCTCGGTCCATCCCCTCGTTCCCTGCCAGCGCCGCCACCACACACACACGTCGCCAGGGAGAGGATCCCACGATCCTCCCGCATCTCTCCCTTGATCCATCTCCTCCTCCTCCTCGTTCCCATGCAGCGCTCGATCCCCTCCTCCCTCGTTGCGCTGTCGCAGAGAGAGAGAGAGAGAGGAGCGCCGCGGCCTCGCCCTTCTCCTCCTGCATCGGGCATCCCCGTCGCCTCTGCGCGCGAGCGCCGCCGCCCTCAAGTTCCTCGCCGAGGCCATGGCCGACGCTGCGCCTTGCTCCCCGCCGCCTTGCGCCTCCTCGCCGAGGCCACCTGGTTCTTCCTCCACGCCTTGGCCAAACCGACCCCAAGCTCCTGCTGCAGCCGCTTCTCCCCAGCTCCGCCCCTACTTCTCCGGCTTCGTCCCCGATCGGACAGCATCGACCGGCCCCGCCTCCAACGGCCGCAACTCCGGCCTCTTCAGCAGCACTCTTACACGCACCCCTCGTTTGCCTTCGATCCCCTGCCCGACGCCAAGACCGCAGCTCCATGTCCCCGTGGCCGCCAAGCTCTCTTTCGGGGACCTCCTCAAGACCAGGAACGCCCTGACCGAGACCGACAAGTACCACTACGCGGATTCGTCAAGTCCGACTACGAAGCAAAGACCATTCACCACTACTGCCGCTGAGGGTTTCGTCAAGTTCAACTACATCGACTACGAATGGTGACGACCCCGAACATCTACGAGAACATGTACCACTACCGTCGCCGAAAACCGTCAAGTGTACCTCTACCTCGTCTTCGGAATCGCTAAGAACGTCAAGTACCCCTTCGAGATGACGAGATCGGCAAGTTCGAATGACCCCAAGTACCTCTTCGAAACGACCGAGTACTGTTACCATCGGACGCGTGAACGACTACTTCCTCTACTTCCGACGACGACCGCTCCGTGAACGACTACTTCCACTACGAACGCGTTCCGCCCCGAATGCACGCTTCAAGGTATAACCCCGAGACGACGACCGCGATGAGATGCCCTTGCATGTATGAGATGCACCCTATGTTTGCACCGTGCCCGTTTGCTTCATGCACGTTCCTCCTCGTTCGCCATGCCGATGAACCGTGGGAACCCGGTAACCGGGATCACCCCACCATCTCTAGCATGTTCCGCACATCCGCACGCCTCCTTTTGCACCGGTATCTCCATGAGCTACCGGGATCGGAATGTTGCCGTGGCACCATTTCTGTTTCGCCGCCGTGGCACCCTTTTCATTCCGCCATGGCGACTAATGCTTCATAACATGCTCATGCCAACATTTTCGTAAAATTGCATAAAACTTGTATATGTCATCCGCATCATGATAACAACATTTAAAATGTTTAAACTTGTTGTTGCATTAAATTGCTAAATGCATATGGGGATTTACCGGATTTATTGTTTTTATATCCGGCCCCATTTAAATTGTTTAGATGGTATAGTTTATATTATGCTTCACCTCTTGCCATGTTAACCAACATTTAATACTGTTGAGTACATAAACGAGATTGAACTAAATAACTTGTTGTGGTGTTCCGTCAACATGCACCTCGTTGCATATTGAGCTCCACTTAAATTGTAGTGTTGTTTGCTTCATTTTTCCATGCCATGCCTCATTAAACCGGACATGCATCATACTCGTTTGTGCATCATGACTTGTTTATGCTTGTGTGTTTACTATGTTGTTTGTTTCTTTCCGGGTTGCTTCTCTCGTTAGCTTCGGTTTCGTTCCGGAGTTGTGAGGATTTGTTCGTCTACGACCGTTTGTCTTCTTCTTGGACTCGTTCTTCTTCCTTGCGGGATTTCAGGCAAGATGATCATACCCTCGAAATCACTACTATCTTTGCTATGCTAGTTTGCTCGCTCTTTTGCTATGCCAATGCTACGATGCCTACCATTTGCTTGTCAGCCTCCCAAATTGCCATGTCAAACCTCTAACCCACCATGTCCTAGCAAACCGTTGATTGGCTATGTTACCGCTTTGCTTAGCCCCTCTTATAGCGTTGTTAGTTGCAGGTGAAGATTGAAGTTTGTTCCTTGTTGGAACATGGAGATGTTGTTCCTTGTTGGAACATGTTTACTTATTGGGATATCACAATATATCTTATTTAATTAATGCATCTATATACTTGGTAAAGGGTGGAAGGCTCGGCCTTATGCCTGGTGTTTTGTTCCACTCTTGCCGCCCTAGTTTCCGTCATATCGGTGTTATGTTCCCGGATTTTGCGTTCCTTACACGGTTGGGCTATAATGGGAACCCCTTGACAGTTCGCCTTAAGTAAAGCTCTTCCAGCAATGCCCAACATTGGTTTTACCATTTGCACTAACAACCTACCACCTTCCCTTGGGTTCTGCAGACTCAAGGGTCATCTTTATTCTAACCCCCCCCCCCGGGCCAGTGCTCCTCTGAGTGTTGGTCCGAACTAGAGCCCTGTGCAGCGCCCCCTCGGGGAAACTCGAGGTTTGGTTTTAGTTGTACGGATTGCTCATCTGAGTGTGCCCTGAGAAAGAGATATGTGCAGCTCCTATCGGGATTTGTCGGCACATTCGGGCGGTGTTGCTGGTTTAGTTTTACCCTGTCGAAATGTCTTGTTGTACCGGGATACCGAGTCTGATCGGAACGTCTCGGGTGGAGGTCTATTCCTTCGTTGACCGTGAGAGCTTGTCATGGGCTAAGTTGGGACACCCCTGCAGGGATTTGAACTTTCGAAAGCCGTGCCCGCGGTTATGTGGCAGATGGGAATTTGTTAGCGTCCGGTTGTAGAAAACCCGAAGTTGACCTTAATTAAAATACATCAACCGCGTGTGTAACCGTGATGGTCTCTTTCCGGCGGAGTCCGGGAAGTGAACACGGTGTTGGAGTTATGCTTGACGTAGGTTGCTATAGGATCACTTCTTGATCATACTTTTATCGACCGTGCTTTGCCCTCTCTTCTCGCTCTCTTTTGCGATTGTAGCCACCATATATGCTAGTCGCTTGCTGCAGCTCCACCTCATTACTCCATCCTTCCTATAAGCTTAAATAGTCTTGATCTCGCGGGTGCGAGATTGCTGAGTCCCCGTGGCTCACAGATACTTCCAAAACCAGTTTGCAGGTGCCTATATTACCGAGCAGGTGACGCAACCAAGCTCAAGGAGGAGCTCGATGAAGATCTTGTCCTTTGTGTTGTTTCCGTTCTAGTTGATCAGTAGTGGAGCCCAGTTGGGGTTGATCGGGGACCTTTGTCGCATTTGGGGTTCTTCTTTTATTTTGGTTCCGTAGTCGGACCTTGATTGTATCTGGTTGATGTAATGCTCTATTCATGTAATTGTGTGAAGTGGCGATTGTAAGCCAGCTATGTATCTCTTTCCCTTATGTATTACATGGGTTGTGTGAAGATTACCTCACTTGCGACATTGCTTTCAATGCGGTTATGCCTCTAAGTCGTGCTTCGACACGTGGGAGATATAGCCGCATCGAGGGCGTTACAAGTTGGTAATCAGAGCCTTCCCCGACCTTAGGAGCCCCATTGCTTGATCGTTTTTAGCGGCCGAGTTGTGTCTAGAAAAATGTTTTGAGTCATTTAGGATTATATATATCGGAGAGTTAGGAATTCTTTTTACTCCCCAGTCTCTTCATCGCTCTGGTAAGGCATCCTGACGTAGAGTTTTGACTCTTCTCTTCTCAAATTGCACTAAATTTTTTTTTAAGGATCACGCGAGTATCTTGGAATCGTTCCGATGGTTTTATGATGAGAACATTGTCTTGGTGCCTCCTGTCAGGGGTTTAGTGGAAGTGTCCCGGGGAGTTGAGCTCTGAGGTGTTGTCGTCATAATTTTATCGTTGCAGTTCTGGAATACCTGAGTTTAG